GAGGCTTCATTGTTGACGAAAGAGCAGGTAAGCAAGATAAGAAGAAGGTGACGGAGATGACAATGAGGAGAGGACCACCGAAAGACATTGGGAGTTCCATATACTCTGGGAAAAGAGTGAGGAGAGGGAAGGAAACTTGGAGAGGAAAGAGAGAACGAAGAGAGAGAGGAAAATGAGGAGGCAAGGTCGGGAAGAAGATGATCTGGAGAGGAAGAAAGAGAGAAAAGCAGAGGGCATTTTGGACATTCTACCATCATTTCATATTTGCAATTTGAGACCGGGTCCTTTGAAGCTATTTTCCAAATTCAGGGTCCCTGATAGCTATTTTATATATTGGAGGGTCTTTATTTGCAATTTTCCCTTAAATTTTTGTCTTTTTTAGCAAGTTTTATTTTATCCTGTTATAGCGTTATTAATATTTACCTAATTTATGGTATTTTTGTTTTTATTTTAAACGAACTATGTTGGTCGGAGCACTTCATATGTAAGAAAATAGGGGGGGCAAAAAGAAATGGAATTATCATACAAATGAAACATGATTTATGGGATAGCAGATGACCCTAAACAAATAAGAAAATGTTGATTTGCTAAAACACACGTATATATTTGGAGTTATATTATCATTATTATTTTATTGCGTTAAAATTACCTTAGCTGGATTACAAATTTTTTTATCTGTGTGGTTGCATGATGGAAAATAATAGAGATAATATTTTTACAATATTTTATTGATTATTAATGATAAATTATTATTGAGTCACGATTACAAGTGTAGTTTTTCTGGATCTAATAATTAGAATATTGATTTTAATCAATTAGATGAATTTAGGAATTTCTGCTTATGAAAGGAATTTAATGAAATCCTAGAACCTCAAAATCATGATTCCAAGAATTTGACCAAGGTGAATCATGTCTCTCTCGTACAGTTTCAATTAGTTAAACGTTGAAAATGATATCAGCATTAAGATAACGCGGTGTCACCGGCCAAGTTCCAAGATGAAATTCCAACTCAAATCCGACATTGAACTGATAAAACACGGTGTCACCGGTCAACGTTGAAAGTGAATAATGGGCTGTTCAACTGAAATAACGCATTATCAAGCAAAGATAGAACATGAACATATATTATCAAGGAAGGCATAAGATCCAACAACAAATAGGCATACAATTCAATAAAAGTAGGATCCCACTGTATTATAATCTATTTAATGATAATTAAATTGCAGCAATGATCCCAAGTGTAACTAGGACTTCATACCAATTAAGTAGTACTATGATTTCTTTTTCTTCTTTTTCTTCATACTCCTTTGTTTCCCCAAACGTTTTGTAGTTCTAGCTTTCTTTGGAGGCTTAGCTTTTGAGCTGTCCAAGAGGATAATTTTTTCTGGCCTCGTGGGTTTGAAAACTTCTGTTACTGAAGGATCCAAAACATCCTCCGAGCACTGAAGAGCGATGCCCATGCGTATAGCTTCATCCCAGAGCTCCCTTCCTTTCTCAAATTGTCCTCCTCTACAAAGCTTTGGAATGAGCACATCATAAACAGGTCCATAACCGCCCGATGAGCTTCTCTTCATTATTTCAAACAATTCAAGAGCATAATTAACCCTCTCAACTCCGCAAAGAATGCCAATCAAACTGTAATAGAACTTGCAGTTTGGTACTAAGCCTTCGCTGATCATCTGATCCACTATTGCTCTTCCCTTGCCAAATCTCCCACTCAGAAACAACACCTTAGCCACAAGATAATAGCTAACCCAATCTGGAGCACACCCAGAAGTTTTCATCGTTTCAAGAATTCGACACGATTCCTTGACTCTTCTAGCCCTCCCCAAGCAAGAAAGCACTATGTTGTAACTAATTGAGGTCATGGAAATCTTGTAAGATCTCATCTCCATCATCACATTCAAAGCTTCAGGTACAAGTCCTGAAGGATTATGCCTCAGGTTGCGCTCAGAAAGGCACCTGAGAAATGTGTTGTAACAAAACAAATCTGGGATAAACCCATCTGACTTCATCTGTTGGATAACTTTTCGAGCTTCCTTCACATTCCTCTGCACAGACCAACCATGAAGAAGACTTCGATAAATGCAAGGCATTACACCTGCGATCTTGTCTTTGTGATGCAAAATTACACCTTCGGCCTTCTTAGCATGCCCTTTGGAGCAAAGGGCACTGACGATAGCAGTGACTGTGAATTCATCCTGAGGACACTTGTGCTTGTCCAAGTTCTTGAAAATACCCAATGCCTCATCTTCTTTTCCCAATTTAACCAAAGTCTCAGCCACAAGACCAAAAGTATGAGCATCCATGACTCGACCCTCCTTCTTAAGATCCCCAACCAAGATACCCATTGCTATGTGGTCTTTCTTTTCAGCGAAAAGTCTAAGAGCATAGTTATAGTCCCTGTCTTCCAAATTGCAATTCAAATTCTTGCTAGACCATAAGAAAAACCTAAGCAGTCTTCTGGTTTGTGCCTCATATTTACAATCCTCAATAGTCTGAGCAACAAGAGACGAAGTTAAAGAATCCTTAAACTTATTCAGACTCAATTCCAGGTCATCCAGTCCACCACTATTTGACATTATAATGCTGCGGAGCTCTCGCCACTGAGGCGGTGCAGATACAGGCTGCAAAGTAGAGCAGAGAGAGATTGAAAGTAGTCTGGAATTCTGTACATTCATTCTGTGAAGTGTAAAGCGTTTCAAGGCAGAGTTCAGCACGACATGCATCTTTGATTTCATTTGAGAATATCAACAAACAGTTTGCGCGCATCTCCTGGTTGCGAGGACTAGTGAAGAGAAAAGAAGAAGTTACCATAGTTCAATGAATCTTGGAAAGAGAAACACACACACACACACACACACACACACACACACACAGGGAGCGCATAATTGAAAGAGGGTTTCGTCCTGCACCACAAAGTTTTCATAGCAGTCATGGCAGCCGGTATGAAACAGAAGTGAGACCTAGCAGAGTACCCAATACAGAGAAGACAAGAACGAAGAGACGCGCACTACAGGGTTCAAAATGCAAGTGAGTAATGGGCCAAGACATGGCAGGCAACAAAAAGTCAACAAAAGATCTATATATTCGGATGTGATCGACATCGACTGATCGTGTGGGGGTTGTCGGTGGAATGTAGCTATGCCTATAAAGAGCCGCAAAAAGTGAGGGAAAATATGTATGGTATATTAATTAATAAAATATTAATCCGGTACACTTCTGCCTCGCTTCATGGAATCTCTGAGCTGCTAAGCCCAAGCTCAGCGCAACAAGCTCCAGTAACTTCTATGCCAACTTGTCCATTTCACGACCATACTCTTCCAATGTCTCCCTATATATACACAATTTTATACTGGTAGTTATTAAGAAAATGAAAATGAAAATCTGTGTAAAGTTTTCTGAGATAATACTGTTAACATTACCAGAATTCAGGTGGGTAGTGGGGCAATCGAATGGTGATTGTCTTCGTTTCCTGGTCTTCGAGATGAGGAGAAATTGGAACTTCCAGAGAGTTTTTAACAAGATAATCGTACACCGCTCGCCGTCGTAGTACCCCGATTGGTTCACTGCCGACCTGAGAGACCAACTTTTGGTTCTCGAGGGAGAGATCGATTACAGGTATTTCGCCGGCGACGGGGTCGGCATCGGCGTCCGCCTTGTCAGGGGTGGGACAATGTCCATGCCCGGGGGTGAGGACAGATTTTATATTTTGGCCAGCGAGGAGCGCAAATTTTGTTTGCTTTCCATGTCATAAACTTGGACGTGTATTGTGAGGAACATTTGTAGCAGATTTCCTCAGCATCCACTCGCATCTTTTGAGTTGGTCCGTGATGAACATGGGAGTGAAGGTGGGAAAGAGCCAGGCGAAGATGATGATGAGGTGGCATGTTGAGGGACACCTATCATTAATGGTGAAAGGCAACGTTGAGTAACGTCAGGGCATTTTTTTGCCCTGAGCGCTCAAGGCATTATTAATATGTCTTGCAAATTTTAGAAGGACATTATTGCCCAAAAAAAAATCGACAAAAAGTAATTGGTTTCAGCAGAAGGGGCCCATATTGGTATCCACAGTGTCTTGGATTGTCTCCAACAAAAGATACGTGTAAAAAGAGAAGAAATTTCCACATACACAGAGAGCAAAATTGGATTTTAAACTTATTTTATCAATTTAACTGATTTTTCCCAAGCCAAGTTTAATAGTCGAATGACTCTGGAGTTGCGACTAATTTATTGGATTTCTAGCTAAACTTGGCTTAATTAATTCGAATTTTAAGTCATTGATACCATTCTAAAAGCATCTTTTTTTGGGGGGCTAGCGTGGACAAATACACCTCTCTCTAACACGCGATGATCGCCATTTGCGTTGTTTCATCTTTCATGTGAGCAAAAGAATTTTCTACTATGCTTTGGTTAAAAAAATAAAAATAAAAATCAGTTCCTTGATTCTCCTGAGAAGTTTTTGTTCTGTTTTTTTTTTTTTGGTGGTATCACTCTTGAGAAGTTATATCAGGTTGATTCGCAACCAAAGCTTATTTTTCCATTTCTGGTGCCGAGTCTTTCTGTAGTAATAATCATCATCATCCTCATCATTGGACTATCACTTCCACCTCAAATGTTTCAAGTTGGATCCAACCTAGCCATCAGATTTTCCCCAGAGGATTCACCCAGTTGGCATCCTGACTTCGTTTAGTTTACGCTATACTCTGTGCAAACAAAAATGGAGAGGAGATAGGCCTTTTAACTTTTGATATAGTTGTAATATTTGTTATTTAACAGTTATTCTCTGGCCATTCATAGCTCCGTGGACATAAGCAGTCACACTCCGCTCTAACATTTTGAATCAAACACATGAAACTTTGGATCACATCAGATGCAAATGGCAGGAGGAAAAACTTTTGCACAATGTATCAGCAACACTGACACAGCATGCACATGGTCATTAATCAATGAAGAGGCAACAATTTCCCATGAAACAAGGATCAGTGGAGGTCCCCATGCATGGCAATGTGATGCCAGATTAAGGGTCCTCGCTCAAAGCAGAGATTCTGCATTCTCGAGCATCTTCAGGAGATGAATCTCTCACATTGTTCTCTTCATCATCGTCCTCCTCCTCCTCTTCATCATAGTCAATGGAAGCAGGTTGTCCATTAAGATCAACAGTGACTCCGTTCAACTTTTTCGCAAACTGTCCCCTCACCCGAGGTCGCCTTTCAGCAAGCTGCTTCCGATTGACATACCTAATTTTCTTATCAAAGCATCGTTCTTTCCTTTTCTTTCTGAACTTCATCAATGCTTCTGCTCTTCTATCAACTACATCCACTTTTGCTTTGGATGAACCTGAACTTCCAAATGATGGCCGTGAATGAGCTGAGGACGTCTGACCAGGTTGTAAGCATATAGTCATGGGGTAATATGGCAAGGAAGTTATCCAACTAGCATGATTCTGTTGGTCCTGGTGATTCTTAGGATACATTGGCGCTGAGGATAGCATCAGAAGGTGATTGAAGAACCCTGAAATATAATGTGGATGAGCATGATGGGAAGGAGTACCAGGTACTTCAGTCTCAGGAATATGACTTCCATTTCTGATACAGATAACATCCTGTGGTAAATGTTCATTTAAGTTCTTTTGATTTAGAGCTCCCATGGAAGCGGGTGGAGCAGAAGAATTGTCAACGGAGAAAGAATCAGCATTACTAATGCTGCTGGGTAAATAATCTTTATTAGGTCTCTCACTTGGCACTCTATTTTCATGTGTTTTAAGGTCATAAACCCCTCGTGGACAAGTTTGATGCATGTCTTCCATCCTCAGTTGCGTAGCAGCGTTACTCTGAGCTTGAGGAATCCCTTCCAAGTTGCTCTTTTGCATGGTTGTTTTAACATAACTAAAGAAGGCCGATGATTCCCCAATCCTTAGTCCACTCTTCTTTGGTCCTGAAGAACAGTGCCCTACATGATTATAGCAAAGTCAGGGAGAAGATAATGCAACTGAAAAAGAAGCTTCCGTACAAACCATATTCATCCTTAGGAACTCAAAAAGCCCTTTTCTTTTGACTTAAAATTTACAGAGACGCTTAGGAAAGCAAACTTTTTCTTCTGAAAACAAAGCATGAGGTGCATAATGACACTAAGGATGCTGCAGAGCTGCCCCTTAGCTCAAGAAATTGTATTTGGCTGGAAGTGAGTAGGAAACCTATATTTATCATCCATTTTCTCTTTTATTTATGTACTCTAATATGCATTCCAATACCATAGTAACTGGAAGGGTGCTGCACCAAATGCTTCGTTTTTCTTTTCTTTTTTTTTTGGGTTACATAAATGCTTCAAATTTATAATGCCAGAAAGTCGTATAATTTTAGATCTCGGAAATTGATAGTTGTCATAAGATAAGGAACAAACTTGTCTGGTGATCACTAATTCCAGGCACACCAAGCAAATAATCTGATGCATGGCCAGCCGGGGGCTTCTCAGGAGCATCAGCAGCAGCACCTTTAGACTGAAAAGGGAAACCATATATGACTAGACATCATTATCGACAGTTATTTGCAGCTATATAACAATCTCTCAGCTCAATGCTAAAACACTAGTATCTGGCCTGCAAAAGTTTTAACATTGTAACTTTCTTATAATTTTGATTATGATTTCCATGCCCATGCACAATAGGCCATTGCGTTTACCCAGAATTTTACTGAACCTTTGACTTTGGAGCTTCATAATGCAATCTCATCAGTAGCATTCAAATTTGATCCAGTTTGTCCCTTTTTGCCATCGATGGCAGAATGAAAACTATGACATTAATACTGAAGTTCACAAAAGGATTACATTGGCAACATAACTGAACATTGTTTTAAAACACACACCAACCACAATTATTTTGTATAATCCAGTAAATTTAAGTTAACCATGGTCCACAAGCATATCAATATATCACGCATGATTAAGCCATTGGTTATTTTCATTCTTTCATCACTTTAGTATTGTTTTGTAAACAATCACCTCATCTTGCCGCTGGATTAACATTCCTGCCTCCGGATTAGTGCTCCTGTTGGACTTGTCTTCTGTATCATCTGAGAACAAGGCGGTACTGGTTGTATTACCATCTCCAGGGTCTGATGCTACCAGATCAGAATCATAGTTCATTATGGCCGATGCTACTAGATCAAAATTATAGTTCATTATGTTCTTCTCTGTCAGACCAAGCTGCCAGAATGGAAATAAAACACAGTTTAAAATCAACTTGGGAAAAAAAAAAAAAATCTAAGCTGTGTTTAACCTAATACAAACAGAAAAATTATCAGGCTAGAGTGAAGGGAAGATGCCACCCCAACACATCTCTATATTTTCATGCATAATTTTCTTCATTTAATTTAATGGCTGTGATGGTTTAATTAAAGCAGAGAGCATGTATTAGAGATGCTAAAAAGTCCACAAGCAAGTTAGTCTCAGCATCCATCTCTGATTTCTCCATTTTGCTGCAGTAGGTGGAGATTGACATACCAATAAACTAGGGGGAAAAAAAAGAAACACTAAAATGGGGAGAAGTAGTGCAATACAAACCATGCGCCTCCTTCTCCACATGTGTGTCCACAAATTTAATAGTTCATTAGAGCGTAAAGGCTTTATTAGATAGTCTGCTGCTCCAAGTCTCAAACACTTCATAACAATGGATACCTCATGGTGTGCTGACGTCACTTATGAAAAAGAAAATCAAAATATGAATGAGGAACATAGTATGATTTTATTGGCTTCAAAATATAACAAAACCAAAGCTTACTTATAACAGGAATTCGATGCAAATCTTTGTTTCGTGCAATGTACTTCAACATCTTCATGCCCTTCTTCATTGGAAGGTCAACTTCAGCTAGTATGACATCAATATCTTGCGCCTCTGCATTCAGTACATCAATTACCTGCCTTGGAGAGCTTACTGAAGTAACTGTAAAGCATAAAGATCCAGAGTTTTATGGATAATCCCGCCAAGCAGGCCATGAATTGTACTAAGTTCACAATATGCGAGACAAATTGTATACTGCAGTAGGAAGCAGAATGTCTAAAATGATATCACCACCCTTGAGGCATTTTCAGTTTTCACTGATAAAAGGTTAAAAGGGAGGAGGAAGAAGGGAGCATTACGTTGGTTCCTTAAATGTTCACACTTTCAAATTTTTAAGATAAAAGTTGGGCCTTAAAACAAGAGGACCTGAGCCAATTTCACACTTTTCAGGTTTCCAAAATTTGCTGAAGGGGATTCCCCTCTCCTGTACATGCTTATATGAGTCTTTTGGATGGCAACTAAAATCTTCTCTTAGTGTTATCTTTCATTTAATATTCATACGTAATGGTTTTATATATCACCATATGAACAAACATGATCAAACTCCATCGAACATCGAGTCAATTCAAGAAGCAATAACAAAGATTAGGATAGACAGCAGAAGTCCGTTACAAAATTGAATGTTTAGCATCAGCAATGACAATTTCTGATTTTCCTATTATTGACTGTTTAAAAACCCAGAAAATTAGTTACAGAGCGTTTGGAGACATAGTTAGCTTGCGGAGCAAGAAATGTAAATTTAAAATTTAGGTATATTCCTCTACCTATCTATTAATGATTTCTTATTACATCTTAGTTGAAATGCATATAAATCAAGGTGATGACAACGGCAAGTTCAAATGCTATACCCACTCACCAACTACAAAATATCAACACAGTATCAAAAGAAGAAGTGACAGAACTAAATATTCAAAGTTATACCTTGATAAGAACATCCCGAAAGAAGCGTTAGAACCTCTTCCGAACTCTTGGTATCATTATCGCACAACAATATTTTCACTTTGCTTCTATCAATGAGATCATCAGCCCTCTTGCTATGATTTCCAGCATTAGCATAGACTTTGTTCAAATCAAAGCCTTCAATCTCCATATAGTTCGAACTACTCATAAACCTCAGTTGACTCCTCAAAGCAGAGCTTTAGAAACCATCAACCAGGAAAATTGGAATGACAATCACAGCAACACCCTCAGCTCAAAATGCCGTCGTAGATGAAGTATTTCATCTTCCACAACGTCAAAAAGCCAATATTAGAGAACGTACATTGGCTTTATTTCCCCCAACACCAGAATAACGACAGCAAAAAGGTGATCCGTCGGAAACCCATTGATGGATTAAAACATATCCGTGCAGGTGTCCCATACTCGCACTCAAACATACGCCATGGCGCAAAGCTGTTCAATAGCCATCCAATTGCGCGCGGTGGCGCACGTAAGCCCCATCCTTAAACGGTAAAACTTCAAGCACTGAAACTGGGTGAATCAAAAGAAGTGGAGTGGGGGAGAGCCCGATACCAGAGACAACGAAAAAAGGGGAAAAAAAAGGACCTTTTTTCAGTGCCAGACGTCGGCGACTAACATGAAAATGCAGTGGGAAGCTTTCAGTTTATATTTGCAACCATAGCGGGTACAAAAAGAAAATATGAAATTTCTAAAGTTGAGTTCAATAAAATAGAAATGGGATGCAGTGGAGGAGTGGACGATATGATGCGGCAAAGAAGAGAAGGTGAGCGCGGGGAGCAGGGGAGCCTAGATAGTAGTCGGAAGGGATGACGTGGAAAGTGCAGAGAGAGAGAGAGAAGGTGGTGATGAAGTACTAGATTGTTTGGTAGTGGAGAGTGATAGCGAGAAAGCCACGTCATATGCAGATTTTTAAGGTAAGTAAACGTGACTAAAATACCTTATCTTTTCTTTGATTTTCAAGTGATTTTGTGCCTCATCCTAATTCCAATTCTTGGTCAATTACATACTTTCCTTTTGTTTTGGCTAGTAGTTCAAGTCACATTTTTTTTGAAATAATATTATTTTGAATCTATTCAAAAGAAATACTCTTCTTATCTTTAAATATGTGTCTATAATTTGTTTTTTTGAAAAATTCCTTCAAGCAAGGAAGTTTTGGCCTGTAGCACTGGAGTTTGAAAATAGTTAAGATGCTTATTTAATTCGGAAATATGTACTTTCTGCCAAAATAAAAATAAAAAAGTGGTTTGAATAATAACCATAGTTTTGACTAAAAAGTGAAGATCACTTTACTTTCAGCAGAACTCATATGCCGCATTATGGTGGAGAATGTTTTTGGTCAAGTGTCCTATCTTATCTCTAAGCGAAGAATTAATATAAAGACGAATTAATCACTTCCTTTTTGGAAAAATAAAGCAGTTCAGTTTAGGCTTAAAAGGAAATTTGACTAAATCTTAGGTCCAATTTAGTACAGAAGGAACTCTAATGTTGGAAATGAAAACAAAAAGGGATATGAGGTATCATGTTGGGTTTGGAGGAATCTTGATTCCATTATCAATAATACTCAAATATTAAAGTCTCGTGCTTTCTTTTAAAATTTATACTTCATGTCTATTTCATTTTGCCTTCATTTCCAAAACTTAATCAAACATCATTATCCCCTTCCACCATCTCTTGTGTTCTGTCTCTTCCCTCTCCCTCTTTAATTTGTATGCATCAATTCATTTCCCCCTCTTTCTACTATATGAACCAAACAAAATTTTACAATACTTTTCATTTATTTATTTATTTTTATAAATGTTCAGGAAAAAAGAATCCTTGGGACATACATCGGTTAAAATTGATTTTGAAAGTTCGATGAACCCGGCCATTTTACTTTTTATGATATAATGGGCTATTTTTCCTTTTATGGGAGAGAGTGATGTTATGTTTATTATTATTGGTTCCTTGTCGTTAAACTTTTTTAGGTTATTCAAAAACAAGGAAAAACTGGCTGCACCCACATGCTTTATTTAGCTGGCTTTAGTTGTAGTTTTCAATATAGCAGCAACAAGTCTTATGCTTCATATAACGACATAGTAAAATTATTTTTAATGTTAACTAAATCAAATTGTCTCAAATAACATAACTAATTACTCACAACATAAAACTTCGGATTCTTTAAGCATCTAGTCAGGGGTTTGATTCCCGGCGATATGTATGGAGAGAGTCTTGTGATCAGAACTAAAGTCTTTTCAAAAAGTCTACAGTGTGATGGGATTATTTACTGTTAACGGAAGTAGATACCTGGGCTAAACCAAAAGAAAGAAATCCTATGCCAATTGAATTATCGCTGGTCATATAGAGATGCAGTGTTATGAAACTGAATCAAACTATCTCAGATGGTTAAGCCGGAAAACTTGTTTTTAAAACAAAAGGCTCCAATTTATTTATTTCTTTTTTAAAGCCACAAACGTTTTGTCGTCACTGAAAACAGCTCAATAGCAAAAGATAAAAATGACCAACCTACTATATCTATAATAAAAAGTTTGGCCAAACAGAAAAGAAACATGTCAAGAGACCAATGAAAATTAAAATTGCACCTCCAAAAACTTAACTCTATCCCAAACTAATGTTCATAAGTGCTTTCCTTATGTTTCAATCTTGTTTCCAGAATACAGTAAGATCCAAAACAACCACGAGTTGAAACACGTGTCATGTGTCAACATATCATCATGCTTGCATGATGGCAAGTCAACCAAATTTTTAGGTATATGTTTCACTGTTAGGTATATCAATCGGTTCTGGAACACTCCAACACAATGGATGAGGTCTTATCCCTTTCTGAGCTTTTATATGCTTCACATGCAACTGTCTAACAGTCATATTATTAACCTCCTCATATAAACCAGAATAGATTCTCGTGGATATGTATCTTCCAAATTGTTTATGAGCTTAGCTTTGTTTGTTCACATGGTAAGAGATGGAATAATAAGGAGTGAAATGGTCAATTTGAAAACCCCTTTAGTCTTCTGACCTGGAATGACAAAAATTAATTCCCTTTGCCACTTGAAACCCAGAGGTCTAGAGATTGATGGAGAAATTGAATGGCAAGTGATATAATTACAGTTACAGGGTAATATATAAACTCTTAAAACGATATTGGAATGACATGCATGCGCCTTTCTATTCCCTTGTAGAGTCTCAAACACGACCTAAAGGACAAGGTCGCAATATATTATATCAGGTAATTTTTCATGGGACAATGGGGCGTTCTTTTATCGCAACGCGTGGTCGTGAGAAGTGCTGATCTTTTTCATGTGCTTGTGTAGGAAAATATGGACAAAAGGAAAGCCATTGCGTTGATGGCATGGATCGTGGTCCTAAGACCCTAATTTGGTTTGCTAAGTATGTGTGCAAGGAACTTTTATGCCCTTTTTCCCTTTCTGGGTTAGCAGCATGCTTGAGGCAAAAGATTTGATGTTAAGCGGGAAGATTTGCGAAGGATAACAAGTTAAAAACCTTCTTTCTTTTTTTTTGGGGGGGGGGGGAGGCTTGGTGGAGTTTTCAAGTCCATGCTCTTACCTCGGAAAAACAAAAAGAGGGAACTTTATTGATCCTTGCTGTACTGAATGGGTTTGAGTTTTAACCCCTGTAAAACGTGTGAACATCAAATGAATTATAAGCTTACAATGTAACCAGTTTTGCAGAGTTGCCAAAATTCAATCAATCCTGTTAATTGTGTAAGCTGCTTATCGTTATGTCTCTGTCAGTCTGCTTTGCCCATGCATTTTAATTGCCCATAATAATCTTCCTTATGCTAGCTGTGAATTGTCTTCTTTTTTTTTTTTTTTCCCCTCCGTTGGAAGTTCATTTGATGATAGTTATGAAAGGAATGCATCAGACAAATGTCCCAGGCATGGAAAGGAACCAAGTTCTGCAGCATCAAACTCACTGAAGATAAGTTTTTTGCGTAGTGCCAGGTGATTCGGTTTGGTGTATCTCTTCCGCATTATGGCCATGTCCCTCAAAATCCTATGTTGTATTGCTAGGATTAAAACTTTTAATGAAGCTACCATGGAGAACAATTTGAAGGCGCTTGATTTCATGCTAATAAAGTCTGAAGGAGGAATTGTGTATTGACTTCTCTATAGCTGATTGGTTCTTAAAGCTACAAGATATATCTATTCACAAAATTTAACTGCGAAAAATCCTACAGCCTCATATCTTACATTCTAACTAGAAAAGCATTCACACAATATCGATGTGACGATTATTTATGACATGATTAAACCAGGAACATGGACCAATATTCCATAAAACGGGATAAATTTCTTCAAATCACATCATGTAGCCAGAGTATTCCTGGCACAGGGGGGGAGAGAGATAGAGAGGGGCCATCTTTTCTGGTAATTCATGATCTCCATTCTGACCTGCTGCCAAGAATCTCTCTCTGCAATACTTTTGCAAGCATCAAGAACCATACATCATTCTGTTGACAAATGGACCACAAAGCTCAACCACAGTTGGCCAGCATGATCAACATTCTTTAAATTGATTCCAGACTAGTAAACAAATCTGAAAGGGGGCATTCTTTATGCAATGCTTCTGCCATGATAGGGCTCTAAAACAATAATACAGCAGCTGCAAACTTCAGAAACAGCAGCTGAGGAAGATATCTTATCTAAATCTTTCATGGGTATTTCATTGGATTTTTGTTCATTTTCTCTCTAAGAGAGCCCAAGCGGAAAGAACTGGCTGGACTATGTCATGATTGGCCATGTCTGATACACCCTCCTTGATCTGCAGTTCGTAAGAGGAAGAATAGGATGATTTTCCTCTTTAATTTGGTTCTAGGAGATGATAATGACACACAATTCTCGTTCCTATTTGATAAGACCTCATCAGGAAAATTATTTCAATTAATCTGATTTCTTGCGGCAGCATTTGGAGAAGCCTGCAACCTGCTGCGGATGAACATTGCAGATTTGGCTCCTGCAATGATTCATTATAATTTTCATAAGAAGTTCACGACTGATGCTGTCAAATACATCACAATGTTAGATTGGAAAGACATCTGCATAGATTGGAAGTTGGATAGCTAAAAATTTGAAAAGTGGGCAAAGAAATGCTGGATTGTGCTTTTCAAAACTTGTAATTGATCATTAAGAAGGTAGCCCCAGTATTAAGATTTATATAGAGTTCATGATGCTTGATCAAAACATATGCATGCTAATCCACTGATCTTTTACCATAAATCTTCCGGTCTGTCATATATGGGGCAAGGTTGCTCATAAAAATTGCTGCTGACAGGCATGCTCAAGAATCATAATGTCTGGGACTTACCATCCTCCAAACTGTTTGTATACTTTTTTCAAGAACTATGGCATGGATGCTGACCAAAGGCTTTACGTAGACAACCTTCTGATTCTCCAGGTCACCACTCCCTCATAGCCAAAAAATGAAATATTGTTAATGGAGAAAATTAGAATAACATTAACTGCACTTAATTAACTAGACACAGGAAAAGACACTTCATGTCTTTCTCTTGGACCTTTCCCTCCAAGTTCACCACAAGCCAGCAACACAACACTTGAAGAATTTTAAAGAAATTTTATCATGAGTGCTATCAGACCTCCACCAAATAGGTTACAAGCTCCTTCAATAGAAGCATCCCGAGAGACTTATCAAAGATACTCACATATTCAACTCACTCAGCCTGAAAGACTCCATTTCCCTCAGT